AAAATGAATTTTTTATGATATTTTCTGTTGCATGCTGAGTAATGGGAAATTCTTGAATTCATTTAGTTTTTTTCAAATTTCACACAAGTTACATTCTCTCATGACTGTTGCTTCACATTGCTTCCTTCATTTGGTCCTTTTTATTTGAATTTATTTTTATTCAAAGCAACATGCAAAAATCCAACACAATTTAAGGACAACCGAACATTCGCTGACACACTAAATTACACAATTTTTGTGTAAGCCAATTAAAGTTGTAGTTCACTATTTTGCCACACTTTTTTCTTCAATAAAAAAAAAACCAAACAAATTCACAGTAAATTTGAAACAGTTTTATACGTTTGAGTACGAGCCAACAACTCGCCAATTGTACAACTCCTCTTGAGTGTAAGTTTAAAACTCGACTGAATTGTCCCGAGCTTTTGCACTGCTTAATATAGCCGAATTATAAAACGAAAAATTTGTCCTCGACTGTCGTTCAACTATTCGGCTTTCTGAGAGCAACGAAATGTAGTCCACTCAGCATTTTATCTCTTATTTGCTTCCTTTCTTCTTTCCCAACTCTATATGGCGTAAACATCGCCTGGCTTGTTGCACAGGTACGCGTACATGCAACAGAATACAGGGCTGGCTTTTCTCTTTTTTTCTCCCTTCATCGTGAAAACACCCTCTCCACTTGAACTTACTCCTACACAGTTAAGAACGTACATACAGACATATATGCTGTTGCACTTCGTATGGCTTTGACTTAATTGCACAAATTGCAGAGCTACTTGTCACGCAAATTTATTTTTAATAATACAGTACACTGAGAAATAACTCATTTATTATACTACTTTGTGTAGTGGAAAATAATTAAATGAAGCGATAATGACATCGATATGATGGTTAAATACCTAAGCAAAGTACCATTCAATACAGTATGCCTCATTGAAGTCAGTTTGCTGCGAAATATTTCTATTAAAGGTCAAGTGATATATGTTAAGTTTCAGTAATGTCGATTAATAGCTTAGTATATGGCACATGTACTTCATTTGATACCCTTAAGTGCCTTATGTTTTCATGAAGATAAGAAGTGATTAATAATAGTATAGATTAATTATAACATTTATTAAAATCATACTACAACAAAAACTTCCTACGCAATATAATTCCTACTTGTAATCTCATTTATTCGAGTATCTATTTAAAGGATATTTCTAAGCGAATCAGAGTACATCAGAGAACCTTTTAAATAACTCACTTACCCAATTGGCTAAATAAAAACTTACTGTGTCGTTTTTGATCATATTCACTAGCCTTATCCCGATCCCGAGTTAACCCGATCAGCTACTTGCCACCGTCACTTTATAGTACCAATTGCACACTAAAGATACAAAGGTCCATTGTCGTTGTTTTTTCCAGCGGAGTATAGGTAGCATAAAACACTTATCTTATAAACTTGCTTACATGCATTCGAACAATATGGCTAAGCCAGCAAATTAGCTGAATTTTGATACACTTAAATATGTCAATACCGCGGTATAGCTCATACAAGCCATTATTTCATAGATCTTCCGAAGAATTTTTTCTGTCGAAATGATTTAATACCTTCTTATCACTGTTAGTGATTATTCAAGCCTTTTGTTAACGATATATGGAGAAAATTTTATTTTTTGACAGAAAACAACTTGGTCCCACTAGGCTGTTAGTTGCTACTGAAAAGCTATAAGAATAATATTGTAAAGCATCAAATTTTTATACACAAATTTTGAAGATCTATTGAAAAGAATGACATCGAAATCATATTTTTGATGAGGCTGATGAGTTTAAGTTCAGATATTAATACATCAACTAACGAAAACAAAACCAAAAATTATCGAGCTAACTAACAGGACTACATACGAGTATTGTAGAGATTGTAAGTTTCAAATACTTAGAAATTTTATGTGCATTTAAAAACTAAAGAATAAAATCTTCATAGTAAAATGTTTGGCCCGATCGTAGATGGGGATTAATATAGAGAGTGGATACCATAAACATACCTATAACGTTGTACGAATCTCAACATTCGAGATGACTTGAATACATCATGCATTTTATCTTTGACAATGTTTTGAAGTTTTCCACCAATGTCGATTCCAAGTAAGATGTTTATAGAAAACTGCTGATCTAAACTGTATCTAAAATGATTTATATGAAAAGCATGTCAGAAATTATGTAGCTTAAATACTAAATTTATTAATAACATGGGAAAGTATTTGTGTAATACTTCATACCACACCACGATTTAAGTGGTCTATTCTGCTATCCCAATTGTTTTAGCCGATCAAAGAACTAGAGAGAAATAGTGATTACTTTCTAAAATTGAAATAATTTTAATGTTAAAAGCTCTTTAATTAGGAATAAGATCTTAACACATCTACAAGGTATTGAACCTTCGAAGAAGTCAAAACTTTTGTTTGGATTTTATTTGAAAATCTTGCTTTTATTGTAATGCATAAAAGTTTCCTATCACTTATTTAGTTGAATTATTAATTTAAATTAATTTAAGTCAATTGATTTTACATGTAACAAAATTATATAAAACAAATATGTGTCATAAATATATGCCAAATAAAACATATATTATTTATTACATATATTATTTGCCGATTATGTGAATATGTATAACGTATTTATTTTCCATAAATGTCAATTAATACAGAATAAATGTCATAAAATCCTTAAATTATTTTAAATTAAATTAAAAAAATTAATTTGCCAACCTCTCCAACCTTCACAATTTGAAATGCAGTACTGCCCATAGCAAACCCACGCTTTTATGCGAATGCAATCATTTTCAATAGAACATTGGAACCACCCCCCACATTTCGCCCACACAATCACTTTGGAAATTCTGATTCGCTCGAGAACATTTATACACTCACATTAAGTTTAACAGAATACACGCATACACACACACAGGCAAGAACACACAAACAAGTATTCACACTCACTTTTAAGTGGGGTGCAGACTATCATACTGGTGTGTCATACGAGTTGCGCTCTCTCTTGCTCAAATTTCTTCTAGCGACCGAATTTGAACAGGTATGACACACAAGAGTAGGCAAAATTTTTGAAGAGTGCTTTTGCGGGTAATGTTGTGAAAATTTGTGTGTTTAAAATAAAATTTTAAAATTGAAAAAATTGATAGTTAACGTATAGGTTGTGCTTTGCTTATAATTGATTATAATTTTGTATATTTTATATATGCCGCGTTTTTTTTTGCGATCTTTATATTCACAGCTTTGGACATCCCACAAACAGCGATTACTTTTATTAACATTCGATGAAAGCATCTAAAAATGCTTTATCTGCATCCATATTCATAATTTTTTTAGATTTATTGGTCATTAAGCACAGTAGTTAAAATGAAAAGATCAGTAAAGGACCGTAGTTAATTTCATTCACTACCTGTAAAGTTTCTTAAGAAATTTTTCATAAATAGATCATACAAATAATGTATATATATATATACATAAGAATGTATATATCTTCATTGTTTTTGAAGAAATTTGATCATTTCCATATATTTGTTAGTTAAAGGTTATTAACATTTAAAATTATTTTATTTTAATAACAAGTTTTAACAAAGAAAAGCATATTTAGAATACAAAGTATTATGTCTTAAATTTAGGTTATTAATTAATTGTTATTACGACCAATTTTCAATATGTTTTTTTATTACTGGGCTTAGATCATAAATTTAACGATGTTTATATATAGATGTTTTTTTAAAAAAAATTTTACTTATAATCATCGTTTATAAATTAAAATAAAAGAAAATAAAATATTTAATAAATTAAATAAAATATTTAATATATTACATAAAATATTTAATTGTATTTTAATTTTTTATAAGAATTTTATGTAAAAATTTATATTTTTTTTAACTAAGATACAATTAAATATTTAACACAAATTTATAAGTGTGATTTTAATAATAATAAATATAATAATAATAAATACATTACTAATAAAATAATAAAAAACATATTAAATTTATATTATAATTCTACATATTCCACCTGCTTACAATAAATTTGCAAGGCAAAAATGCTCTTGTATGACGTATGAATCGTTAGGGGTGACAGACTATCATACACAACGCGTATGCGAGAGCTGTTCACCAAAATTTTGGTGAGCACGCCAACACGTTGGTAAAGGTGGCAGACTATCATACCTGTGTGTCATACGACGTTTTTCTCTCTTGTATGACATACCAGTATGATAGTCTGCACCCTACTTTAAGGTGAAGGTTGTGTGGGATTCGGTGCGTATGAGTGAATAGTGCTAGTGATTAAAGTGAGTAAAAACCGTGAGCACCAAAATATGAATGGTTCGGAAAGAAGAGAGTCGTGAAATAGTTGTAACTATTGTAACTACTCAAGGTTATGTGTAACTTTTTTGTAATTTACATGAATGAATTCTATATGGCACACGGCACAAGAAAAACGTTGAAATGGATTTTAGCTTCTCCGTACATTTTGTGAAAATTATTTCTCATTAATCCAGCACAGTGGATGCAATAGCGAAAAGTATTAATCCTGCATTTTTTATGAATCCTTAAAATCACTTTCTCACATATTAAGGGGGCTCACTTGTAAATATTTGAAGTAAGAATAACATAAAATTTATAAAATAAAGTGCTTTATAACTGCACTACATATACAAAATTAAGAAAATAACAAGACAAATGTGGTACATAATAAAATATGTGATAAAAATCAAATTCATTTCTATAAAAAAATACTGAAATACAAAAAAAAAACAAAAAAAAAATAAGAAAAACATTTTCGTTATCAAATATATTCATAAGGTTAACTGCTATATGAACAGCATTAATAGCATTGAACTCAGACAGCATAATATGCGGGTAGTAGCTTATTAAGGTTTATATTTTCACTACCGCTTTTAGTAGAATTGAATAAATACGATAAAAAATGAAACAATAATTTATTAAACGGCTAGAAACTGACATGGCCACTGCAATACTTTTAATATTTTTAGTTATGCAAGCGAATGCAGTGCGCATAATTAATCCGAACCGAAAAATTTTACAAGAACCGCCCCTTCTATTACCAAAGGACCGCAGTCAACATGAAGTGAAAGAGCATTGGCTGGAACAACGGCTTGATCATTTCGATGGGAACAACAATCAAACATGGCAAATGGTATTTGGAAAAATATTTTTTATTCATATGATTCATATTTCAGTAAAATCTAATTACTTAATCAATGAATGCAGCGTTACTTCCAAAATGATAAATATTATGAAGCTGGTGCACCACTCTTCATATTTATTGGTGGCGAATGGGAAATCTCGAAAGCCTACTTGCTTACAGGACATTTCTATGATATCGCTTTGCAACACCACGCAATGCTTTATTATGTGGAACATCGCTTCTATGGCAAAAGCATTCCGGAGAAGTAAGAATTAAATCGATTTTAAATATTAATTAGTTATTACTTTATCCTTGCTTGTTTAGTGATACTTCCTTAGAAAACCTAAAATACCTAAATATTAAACAAGCTCTAGCAGATCTCAATATTTTTATTACAACACAAAAACAATCCAGAAACAGTATGACAAATAGTAAAGTTATACTAGCAGGTGGTTCCTATGCCGGAAGTATTGTGGCTTGGTTTCAGAAAATATATCCCGGTTTAGCAACCGCTGGTTGGGCCTCAAGTGCACCGCTATTTGCAAAAATGGATTTTTATGGTAAGAAATATTTTAAAATAAAACTTCTGCAAACAATTAAGAAAATGTAAAACCGAAATTCACTATGATTTTAAATTCTTTTAATTGGGTTTTGGAATTTCTAAATTATTACAAATCAATAAATATTGTTGTATTAATCAAGAATCCAAGTAAAAATAAAAGCATTCCTCCGGAAATAGCTGAATATACACATCTTATTGGTTGTGCTGTATCACTGCTTCCACCAATGATTATGATATCAACACAATGGATGAGTATTGAAATGAGTATTACGACGGCGACTTTTACGTAGTTATTAAAAAAGTCATTCAAATAAACTATTTAAACTATATAAAAAGTATTTCCAGTGATCATAATATGTTACCTTTCCTCTTCGCACTTTTGTGAAGGAATATAATAAATTTGTGAAGATATTTTTAACTCAGTGAAGAAAACATTAAATACCTTATTTGGGTGTAGACATATTCATATACTTCTACCAATATTCTAATCAGCAAAACTAATTGAATTAAATTATGGATATTACTCTGATAGTCTGGATGTCTAATGATTAGCCCATTTTAATATTGGTACATATTTAATGTTATATTTCGATTGTTGAGCTAATCTATCTAAATGTTATGCAAAATAAACTGTATTATATCTCCCATTAGGTGAGGTCTCAAACTATGATTTTTATAGTTTTTATTAATTGGAAATATAACTATAGAGATACACTTATAGTTAAATATTTTATAGATGCAAAACTTTTTAGGTTTGTACATCCAATCTAGTCAGTGTCAACAGTTGATTGTTCGAACTGTGTTATGGCTTGCATATATTGCTTCATAGAAGATATACTCAATATATCAATTGCAGTGTCTGACTGCTACTTAAGCAAGATGTCCTTACCGAAGATTTTTATCCGTAATTTTTTTCTTTTTTTTCTTAACAATAGATTTCCATCATTTCACTAAATTACTTCCAATTATATATTTAATTTAATCGTAATTTTTTAAAGAATATATGATAATTGCTGGGGAATCTATAAAACGAAAAGGTGGCTCAACTTGTTATAAACGAATAAAGACAGGCATGGAAGCTTTAGCTGCACAATTCAAATTGAATGCAAGTGATGAAATTATACATAAATTGATGGTTTGCGATAACTTTGATACCATGAATCCATTGGATATTGAAGCATTTTTCAATACCGTCGGCTACTACTTTTCCGAAGTGGTGCAAAGCTATAGGTAAAACCACTGAATAATTTCTGCATATTTAAAATCTAAAACTGTACAAAAAAAATTAAAAATACTTTGTTGTCACAGTTCATATATAAAGAGTATGTGCAAAAAGTTGCTATCTCATCAATCCAATGATACAGAGGCATTAACTACATTTCTAAGTGATATGTTCTGGTTGAGGGATACGAAGTATGATGCCTGCATCGATCTCTCATACGAAAGCACCAAAAACTTTTTTGCACAAGATAATTACGGCAGTAAGTAGAGCAACAAACTAACCAAACCAATTAAGATTTTGTCGTATACCTTCATAAATAATTCTTGTAATCTAGTGCGGCAATGGTACTATCAAACCTGCTCTGAATTCGGTTGGTATACCACAACAGCTACAAGGTATCATCATCCTTTCGCTAGTCAAGTGTCGCTTGGCTTTTTCCAGCAACTGTGCCGTGATGTGTACAACAACTCGTTTACTTCAGATACCATCTCTTCGAGCATAAACCAAACAAATGCTTATTTTGGTAACACAATTAACTGGGCGCTTGCTAACAACTACGAAACCACCTTTTTCACCCACGGCCAATTGGATCCGTGGCGTGCAGTTGGAGTGCAGAATGGCAGCAATGTCATCGTTATTCCAGGTACCTGTCATATTTTAATATTGTTTCTTCCTTTTTTTTTGCTTATTTATAAACTCGTAAATGTCCGCAATGAGTGAAAATAACATCGTTTTAATTGCTTTTTACTTCTGTTATTGTTCCAGGCTATTCTCATTGCGCCGACCTGGGTTCAATCAACCTTAATGACAGTGTGGAAATGAATGTGACCAAGTTGAAAGTAGCTCATTTTCTGAACCGTGCATTGCGTACTCCTGAAAATTAAAACCAAACAAATTAAAGGACTTAGAAATTCATTTAATGGTTAATTTGACTGCAAATTGTTGAGAAATAAAGCAATTTATTTTAATGTGAGTTTTGGCATTTCGTTTATTTAACCTTCAGGAGCAAGGATATGGTTAGAAATTCTTTATTGAAATAAAAGGAAAGAAAGTCTTGAGCAAGGATTGATTCTTATTTTCTTGAACAAAATTTTACATAATAAGACATTTCGAAATGAAGACAAAACCAATATTCAAATGGATATGATTTTTTATTAATTTTTTATTAATTCTTTATCATTCCTCTTGGATTTCAAGCATTTCAGAAAAACGAGTACATCAAAGGGGTCTTGTGGTAAATAGGAAAATAACAAAGTAATTTCTGTTAACCAACCAATTTCCTAAGCCTATTGGAACCGAATTTACTGCTGACAAATGTAAATTCAATGTAATCAAAATCATTGTTTTATTGACAACGAACGAACACCAAATATGACGTCAGCCCATAGATTCACCGAAAATCAGAGAGAAATAAAACCCTCTCACAACAAACAAAAATCACGCTCTACAAGTCTGTCATCATGCCAGAACTGTTGTATGGTACGAAAGCTCTTCCAATAACCAACAGCGTTGAGAAGGCGTTAGAAATATTTGAGAGAAAATTTTTTCGGTTGATCTATAGTTCTTTACGTAATGACATTGAATACAAAATTATATGGAATGACAAGCTATATACGCTAAATCACTAGAATTGACTTAGTTAACCTTATACAAATTCAGTGGATTCGCTGGTTTAGTTATGTCGAATGAATGGAAAAAATGTTCCGGTTGGAAAGGTGCCTGATTCAGTACTCGCTGGACATACTGAAGATATTCTCATCTTCGGTAAAAGTAGCAGGTGACCAACGATATGAAGATGCTCAATACAAGCAATTGGAGACAGAAAGGCACTAATCAAGCTGACTAGAAGAGACTTTAAGGGTTTTTCTAAATCAATTCAGTCAATGACTTTATGCTTCTATGGATTCATTACAAATTAGATAATATACATAGTTTATTATTTTGATTATGAAAATAATCCAATGTTAGTTAGAAATAATTAAAATATTTGAAAATATATGTATCGAGCAGGTGAAATGTCACTGGTGATATAAGGGAGAATTGGAATTGTTGCACTGCGCCAGATCTGGCGAATATGGTGTCTGAGTGATGACAGTGGTGCTGCGTTTGGTCAAAAAATCGCGTACGACAAGAGCCGTGTGCGATGGAGCATTGTCGTGGTGAAGAATCCAATTGTTGGATTTCCACAAATCTCGTCTTTTCTTACCGATGGACTCACGCAACGCCGAGGTAATATTCTTTATTGATGGTATGACCCTCTGGCAAAAATTCGTAATGAACAACACTGCGGTAGTCGAAAAAAAGAGTGAGCATAACTTTAAATTTCGAGCGACTTTTGCGCGGTTTTTGGGTTTTGGCTCGTTTTCGAAGCACCATTCGCTCGATTGTTGACTTGTTTCGACGTCATACTCCTAAACCCATGTCTCATCACCTGTTCTGATGCGTTTCATGGATGTAGAGTCGTTTCCATGCTCATTTCTGCACACACGTTCTTTCGGTATTTTTTTTGCAAAAAATCAAGGTGTTTCGGTACAAATCGAGCTGCAACGCGACTCATGCCGAATATATTATGTAGAATGTGGAGAACGGACCCAATTGAGATGTTTAAGTTACGAGCAATCTCCCTTTCAGTCATACGACGATCTTCAATCTCAATTTTCTTGATTTTCTTGATGGACGTCCAGAACGAGGCAAATCTTCGATCACTTCAAGACCCTCTTTGATTGAACTATACCACTCGTATGCCTGTGTTCGAGACGTAGAAGAGTCCCCGTAAGCTTTCTGCACAATTTTCAATGCTTCAACACATGAAATTTCGTTGAAAACACAAAATTTCAAACAAACTCGTTGTTCAACTGAATTTTCCATAGTAAAAATTGCTAAATCCACTTGAGGTAGTCTCACATTAACAGCTGTTGTAAACAAACTAATTGACAGATGGCGCTCAAATTTGTACCATATGTCAAGAAAGGGTGTACCAACATAACAAAAATTTTTGAAAAAGGTCTATTACTTAAGGAGTAGTTAACAAAATCCTTTTTGAGCAGAAGGTATTGCTTAGTGAGGTCTGAGGGTTTTATACGTTTTAATCTCCGCGCTGAGTCAGTTGCATTGACTAATTGTAAAATTTCTGCATTTTTATGTTGTGTAATTTTCGTTGCATGGGCAAGAGCATACGTTTTTATGAAGTTCTCGACGGGATTGATTGCTAGGTCACGATGTAGGTCTGCACTACAAATGTACCAGGGCGCATTTACAATATTTCTAAGTACTTTGTTTTGGAAACGCTGTATTATCATGAAATTGCTCTTACTGGTGCATCCCCATAACTGTATACCGTAAGTCCATAAAGGCTTTAAAATTTGGTTGTAAATGAGGAGTTTATTTTGTGTCGAAAACACTGAACGCCTACCAATTACCCAGTTTATCTGCTTATACTTTAGTTCAGTATGAATAACTTAATTAAGTTAATTAAGTTATTCATAGATAAGGTTAATAAACTTTTATATACTTTTTAAAAATATCTATAAATTATTCTTAATGTTATTGACAATAGTACAAGGTAATAATAAATTCAACTGCAACTGCCTAAATAAGACGATCTCAACTTAAATAGATAACATATTTCAAAAAAGACTTTCCATTGCTACATTCATTTATTTTTCAAAGAATCTTTACAGTTCATCAAAACACCCACTCAAAAAAAAATGCACCCAAAAAATAAATAAATTCTTCTTTAAGGAGTTAAGGAGTTTTTTATCAACGAATTTAAAAGCATTGTAGTTCTCTCTCTGTATGTTTTTAAACTCACATACCTATATATATATGCAACACATATTACACTGTATAGCGATTTAGTCTATTGTTACTTTTCCCTCGAGTGAAGATACATAAAATAATTTTTAAAGGATTCCCACCATGTAAACAAAATGTCTGTGAAACACCTGAGATTTTCAGATGTGGAGCGTGGAGCGTAAATATCAGGCATCAATCTGTAGCATATTGGCAACAGACGGCAATAAATCGTCCTGCGACTATTATAGTAGCTATCAGTTCGCTCGACATAATGAAACGTGGGGTAAGTTGTGCAATATAATTTATTGCGGGATGCTGCGTTATTTTTCTCTTAAAAGTTATTGTATTTAAGATTTGATTAAAAAAAAGCACATCTAAAGTTTTAAGTTAAACTGCTAGAATGGCTTAAAAGATATAGTTTTTTCACTGTCCTTAAAGTCGTAAATGAAATGAAGCAAAATATAGTTATCTTAATGAAGTGACAACAATAATTGTCCTGAATATAGCTTAAGTCTTCTTCCAGGAGCTCTTGACAATAGCACAAAACCTTAACATATCATTACCCTTGTGTAAAACTCTGGTAATATTATTCGGATATATGTTTTTGTATGTATCAGTGAGTATAAGTTAAAATTCTATGTTTTTAATTATTCTCTTCAGCAATTTACTCTTTCTACGAATTGAATTCTCTGCTCTTCTGAAGCAAAAGCTTAGTTGTTGCTTTAGCGGTATCCTGTTGCTCAACCATAACAGGTGGTATACGCAATACCCTTTACGTCACAACCTACTCAAAAGTGTTTAAGCAACACTGCGTTCGCTTATATTAATAAAATTCTACTTTGTGCTCCAAATGCCATTTAAATGTAGATTAACAAAAACAGAGTTAAATAAGCGTCCGCTTAATATTCTCTTATTTACACTGAAAGAAAAATATCGGGAAAATAACTGAATCTTGATTAAAAAGCAGCACAAGGCTCTTTTGTTTTAGTAAATTTGCGGATGGAGGATAATTAATACTTAAAATGACTAAATATTGCATTATTTTCATCAATTCAAAATTAGACTAATACTACAATTTAAAATTGTACCTGTCTTTGTAAGTTGTAGTAAATACATATATTGTAAGTTCCTCAAGAATTTTATGTCTTAACTAAACAATTTCAATAGATAACAAATACATATATTGGAAGGTATACGATTTTAATTATGATTATATGAATTATGATTAGGTTATATACCGGCGATCCCTGAAGGATCCAGTTAGGCCTATTGGCCCATTGTGTCAGCGTATATAGGAATAACTCAGAGTTTAAAACCACCCAGAAACTTTAACGAAGCTGAAAATGCTTTTTAATGTCAGGTCTTGTTATTGGTCAAGATCCTCAAGAAAAAGAGTTCCTAACGTGTTAAATCGCTGCCGTGCGTGAGCTGGGCAGAAACATAGTAGATGAGAGGTACTCTTAACATTGCTAGAATAATGTAAATAAATTATTAAAATATATTTTGAAATCAATATTTCACAAAATACATTATAAATTTCATTGGAATTGGATGGAGTTTTTATTTTTTGAAGTAGCTAGTATATAATAGGAATTACTCACCAAGAAGATATAGTTTTGAACTTAAGACTTCTTAGCTTCAACTAATTTGAAAAATAAAGTTCTCATTTATGAGATGCAGATAAGTAATCTTTATGCCTACAAATTATTTAAAATCCCTAACTTCAATAACTAAATATGCAAGTTATGGCATTGAAAACATTTTCATAATGTGCTTATCTGTTGTAGTAATTATCAGTTGTACATTTAAATTGAAAAAGTCTTCGTAAATCTTCAGATAATGCAAATTCAATGCACATACGAGTAAATTACTTTATTCAATCGTGCAGTCAATGCGGAACTTAACATATACATTAAAATGAACGACAATCAAAGAGCCAACTAACAACACCAGAAAAAAATTAAAGTAAAGAAAATAAAATAGACGTAACATAGTGACGCCTATAAACATAATCGAGATGGACAAGAATAAAGGACGGAGGTAACTATTTTAAATATTGTTTATTTATATATTTAAAATAATCGAATTT